CTTCTACCAGTTCACGGAACGCTCAACGGCCAATCCGTGGCCAAAATGGATGGGGGTGATGCACGGATACGAAATCGAATACGTTTTCGGCATGCCGCTCAGGCATCCTGAGCTGTACACGAAGGAGGAGAACGAGTTCAGCAAATCCATCATGGACTACTGGGTTAGCTTTGCCAGGAACGGGTAAAATTAAAAACCATATGAGTAGCTCTATGTGTTCACGTTATTACAGTTAAACGCTTACAAAATCTTTAACCGGCTCGTGTAATATGTCGATTACAATATGAAGTGCTTTCCAAATCATTCTCAGTGTCCTTGTTTTGGAATGTCGCTGGTTTGCGATGCCACACTAATTTCTAATTTGAAATATGTTGATTGCCATAGAGTCTCAGAACAGTGGTTCTTCTCCAAAAACAACAGTTCTGCCTCTCTCTTCTCATCTACTCTGCATGTTAGTCCCTCGATCGATGTGTGCCACGTTTTACTGTACATCAAATACTAAAATGTTATGGGAAACCTGAGGGCATTGTGTACATTTTGTAAGAGACACTTGCAAGAAGTATGCCTGAGGCCGAAGTTCAAGGACAGCCATATGAGTGATTTTCTCTCAACTGTGGTGTTCGCTAAGGAATTGTGCATTCGCCTCCACCATTCAATATTTTTCTTGATATTCTTTCGGGAATACAGTGGTGACCCTAGTAAAGTCAAAAGATTCACTTAAGACGGAAGGCGCAGTTCATGATATCCTGTTAGATATCGCGATGGCCTGAAGAACGCAAATAATGTTGCCTTGATGAGTAGTACGGGAAACGGACTGTATCACCTGTCGGCATCCTTATGTAGAACAGCAGCCAAAGCCAGCCTCTTCCCTAACACTTATAAGGTTAAATTTATGAGAAACCCAATCAGCATAGCTGAATTTCAAACGGAACAGGGAGGTGAAGGGTTCGGAGGTACAGAAATCGAAGTATCTCAGTTCCGTCATTTCTAATGATGTCAAGGGAAGATCGCCTTAGCCTTCAATTCCTGTGAAAACTTGTACAATACTTTGGCCGAGAGAGGATTATCTGTTTCCCCTGTCAGGTCAATGTTGTTCTGCGGCATGGAAACAGTTGTTCTAACGAAGGATCATGAAGGACGGTTCAAAGCATGCAGACGCGCCGGCAAGGCTCATCGGGGCAAAATGGCAGGAGCACGTAAAGAACGCTTTTTTTCTCTTCCGGTAGCAAATCATCTCGATAGATGGGGAGATTAAGAAAAGGAAGATGGCCCTGCTAGAGAAACTCATTTAAATGAGGTATTTACTCAAGCTGATGAGCTTCCCGTGTGGGGACTAAAGGACAACCAATGATGAGCAAAAGGTAGGCATACAACAATGAGGAGCAAGGTAGAGACAGGTTTGATTTCGGAGAAGAACATTTGATTCTACGATGCAGCAGCCAGCACCGTATAGCGAAGGCGTTGAAAAGTTGCTAATATAGAAGACATCACAAACCTGACACTATTTGCTTATGCAAATGGATAAGGTAGTGATCTCAACAAACAGCAAACAGTATATCTGTTGTGACAGGCGGACAAAATGTCAAGTGTAAGATTGAGCAACACGGAAACAATCCAGAAAAACACGTCCTGCATTGCAAGTAATCCGTTTTGAGCTTTCTTTTTCAGTCTGAGCTGCAACTGAAAACCAAGAGCATTTTTTTTCGAGTGGTCCTGTAAAGTATACAGTAGAGCTTCCCGTTCACCCTCCATGTAGAATTGAAAGGTCCATCGTCCTTCTCTCATTAATTATACAGTACACCAATTGTTGACTATTGTAACTGATATTTATTTTGTGCCACATCCAGGCGAACAAAGCGATTTTCTATCCCCATAGGTAAGATCTCCATGACCTAATGCAACGAAATTAATTTGTATAAATTTCAGTTTACCCTGCCACGATAGAGCGCAATATTTGGCAGATTAATAGCAAAATATGAATTTTTACATAATTATTTTTCAGCGTACCTTCTCGAACTTCTGCTGCCAAACCTTTCTGGCCACTTTATTCGGCGTCCAGAAAACGCTATATGGTCTTAAATGCCCAGCAAGAACAGGTGAAAGACAACTATCCTGAATCAAGTTGTCGATTTTTGACAAATTTATTCCATTCATGTTTACTAGGTATGCATTGGAAAACTTTGCACTACTTCTGTTTCATAATACTCAAGTTTCAGGCAAGCAGCAAACGAGTGCCAGTTTCGCTGTTGTTCCGTCGCCCTTCAGTTTACTGCTCCTTCTGACGTTCTTAGCTACATTATGGAATTTTCCATGTGAATTTTGAAAGTGGTTCTGGTGTCTAGCTAATTTGCACATATTTTGTACTTTATTTATCGAATGCGTTGTTACAACAATAAATTTTACGATTGTAATAAGTAATACAAACAACGCAACACAGAGCATATGAACTATTTTGGGAATGAAACCAATAAGTAGCTACAAACTAATGGATGGTAACACGACATCAGTCACAATTTAGTTGGACAGGCTGGGCATGTCGCAAGAAAATGTCATAGGCGAAGTCAAGAAATATTAGGGGGCGTCCTAAGGGACAAAAAATTTTCCGTAGAAATATTTTCAGATCAAGATCAAACTCTGTCTCTCGTACAATTCCGTAGTTTGTTGTAAATTTTTTATTGATCACGTGATGCGGTACTGATGTCCGTTAGTATTTCATCAGCAAGAAGTGCCATATTTTTCAGTGCAATACTTGCAGCGCATACTCTCTACTCCTTCTCCTATAGTAGCACTCGTTTATCTACGTTGCATGAATGAATAACGAATTGCCCGGAAGACATTCCACGCGCGCTCTGCCGGTTGAACCACCGTCGCTTCTCACTGCCTTGCAGTGACAGAGATAGGATTCCATTTGGTTTGCTTACGTGTTCCAAGGAGAACACGACAAAGTTCCACTGCTTACAAATCGGTTACGAGGAGGAGGCAGAGTTATAAACAAATCAGGCGCGACGCCCGAAGATTCCACGATGCGCATTCCTTACATACCGTAATTCCGGTTCATCACGAAAAAATTATTTCTTATTCAAAGTTCGATACTGTGATACTACGTAGATATTGGCATCTACTGGAAACAATGTTACGAAAAACAAAATATTTCTAACCTTGCACTGCGGCCCCCGAATTAAAAAAAAAAACATGGCAGCTGCTGCACTTGTTTGTGTGATTATTCCGTCGGTTTCAAAGAGGCTGCAACCCCTTTGGATAATATGTAACACTGATCATGATCGGCCGTTTATCTCTGCGGGGTGAATTGAATATTAGCATGCACCATTGAATGCAATCGTTCGAACAGGATCGATCCTGAACGATATCTGATCACATTCGTTGTTCGATCTAAATGCGTACGCGTTACATCACCTTCGGCCATGACACTCCTCAGCATTTGTTCAATATGCGTTTTAAGCGGTAGTTTTTATGTTTCGCAAGGATTTTGGTCCACGCCATTCGAAAGTTGTGGCTCTTCGCCGGTAGTCGAATCGAGCGTGTTTCTATGCCCAGGTGACTGGACGAATATTTCGCGAGACCAGGTGTGCGACGGCTTTTCGCAGTGCGGAGGCTCTCATGCGGACGAGGGTCACTGCGTCGGTTTCATGCCGGCAGCTGGTGACCTGCTGGGGTACGACGCCGACCAGATGGCCATAATATACGTGCCGTACTTCGACTGCGACGCCCCGATCTGCTACGAGAATGGCAACGAGTTGTTGGCACATCTTTTCTGTCGCCAACTCGGACTGTCGACTTTCAGGAAGGTTGGCCACGTGGCGAATGCCAACCAGCGCCATTCCATTGCTCCGCGTATGATACAGTGCAAGGGCAACGAACAGGCACTCCAAAAGTGCCTTATGCCCCCCGGTCACCTGGTTCTCACCCCATGTCCAAAGCTGTTGACACTGTCGTGCCTCGACGAGTGCAAGCGCGTCATCAACGCTAGCAACGGCACCATTCGATCGGTCGGCTACCCGGACTACGACATACCGTACATCGACTGTGAATGGAAGGTTGTCGGGCCGGTGGGCTCCTCGCTGGTCGTTCAGTTCCTAGCGATCAACATCCAACCGAGCTGGTCGGCCATTCAAGGAATGATTGGCCCTTTTTGCAGTCAAGCATACGTGGAACTGGAGCTTGGCATCAGCGAGACGGACGACGAAAACTACGAGTACGACCGAGTACGGATATGCAACGAAAAATCGATCCTCAAGGTAACACAGAAATGAGACACCACGAAAAATCATACATAATCGTTGTTGATCTTTCTAAATTGAATCTCGGTCACATGAGCTAAACGTCTGGTCAGAGTCCGGCAAAAATATGAAAATTCATTTCCTAACCGAACTTTTCTGTTCAGTAATTTGTAATAGAAGTAAAATAGTGGATGAAACCGGTGGATGATACGATTTTGCATTCCCCAGTTGCAAAGTAATTGAACTGGCCAGAACATGACAGCAGAAATTCTCAGTAAACCCATGGTCCTTGTTGTGTGAGTCGATCAGCTGACCATTTTCCTTTTCCTACTCTTCATAATCTTTGTTTTAACCAAGAATTCCTTATGACCTAAATTTGCTAGATTTTACCCAGACTGCAGTTGTTCAATCGATAGAACATTGGACTCAGACCCAAGATGACCGAGTTCGAGCCCAGTCGTTATCACTTGCCTTTCTTCCTTCTGAAATTGATATGTGAGGGATATTTTGTGAAGAGGAAATAAGGGACTACAAACCATGCTTTTCACTGGCTAGTTTTAAAATATGGCACTTTCGGCTGATGCGTGAAAATGGAACTCCAGTTTTGCCGGTCCCAAGCTTGCATGAGAAACGAGAAGGGTTGTAGATCGTGACGAGGCATCCATGCAACAGCCACCTGTCCCTCATGGTATTGCCACCATTGAACATTATACCGACCCGATCATTACATAGGTTAGCAAGGGCTGAGCAGGCTATTAGGGGACTGAAGCAGGCTACGAGAAGTCGGCAATTGAAACCCGCTTACTGCCTCATGACAGCTCTGCAGCATAGTAGCACGACAACGGCTTCAGAAGACTGACACGCGACGGCGAACATATTAATCAGCAATGGAGTTGCTGCCCCTTCTGAATGGAGACTCACAGAGCAATGCGTTTATTGCACGTCAGAT